TTAGGTATAATAACATTATTACTAAGAATCATTTGAAAATAACTCTGTCATGGTGCATTTTCCAAAGTAACATAAAAGTAGGAGGCAGAGATTGGAGACCTGTAAGGAAAAAACTTCATGACACTATCCCCGACAGTTATTTCTGTGTCATGGTGCAATATCACAGGACTAAGTGTGACTTTGATATCAAATAGGCCTTTCATCATTTGCTCTATGTGTGCAATTTATTTGTTTTTCCAGGTCGTCCAAGTATTGTAACACCAGACATTACAACATATCTGGCTAGTTATCAGTTTATTCTTGGGTTGGTACCACTGCAGTGTCATACACAGAATAAGAAAGTTATACAACTGCTAAGTGACATGCATAAATTCAACCATAAAACTAAATCTTTTTAGCTTTCTGCAGCTCTGTGTAACCTTGGTATTTCTCTGCTCCTGGCTAGCTCACCACATTTATGAAGCATGTACAATTCTGCAAAATGGATCAGAAATACCAATAATAGTGACAACAGGAGCAATAGCAGTAATAGTAGCAGTAGCAGTAGGCTAGTTCAGAAGGAGGAAAATTGGGTATGTAATGAGACAGACATGAACGTCACAATAAGAAAGTTATGGGTTCAGTTCTGAGGCTTTATACTGTGGGGTTTGCATATTCACGCTATATGGATGTCCTTCGTATGTTGGGTTTTCTCTGGGGGCTCCGGTTTACCCCAACAACGTAAAACATGCACAAATATTCTATCAGCTAAGACAGGCCTGACCAAGCCTAGCTGAAGATCTGGAGATGGGCTCCTAAGCTCTGTTCGGCAGTTTCTCACTGCTCTTGACAGGTTGCCCCAGTTGCAGTGGTTGAACGAAGGGTTAAATGCAAAGAATGACGTATGCCATGATTGTAACTCTTACTTTGGTATCCTGCATTTCTAAATATTTAGAAACATACAACTGCTAAGTGACATGCACAAATCAACCATAAAACAAAATCTTTTGAGCTTTCTGCAGCTCTGGGTAACCCTTGTATTTTTCAGCTCCTGGCTAGCTCGCCACATTTATGAAGCATGTACAATTCTGCAAAATTGATCAGAAATATCAATAATAGTGACAACAGGAGCAATAGCAGTAGTAGCAGCAGTAGCAGTAGGTTAGTTCAGAAGGATGAAAATTGGATATATAATGAGACAGACATGAACGTCACAATAAGAAAGTTATGGGTTTAGTTCTCAGGCTTTATACTGTGTAGTTTGCATATTCACCCTATATGGATGTCCTTCATACGTCTGGGTGAGTTTCATCAGTTAAGGCAGTCCTGATCAAGCCTAACTGAAGATCTGGAGATGGGCCCCTAAGCTCTGTTCGGCAGTTTCTCACTGCTCTTGACAGGTTGCCCCAGTTGCAGTGATTGAATGAAGGGTTAAATGCAAAGAAGCATGTTTGCCATAATTGTAATAATATTTAGAAACATACAACTGCTAAGTGACATTCAACTAAAACAATAAAATAAATCCAATAAAACTAAATCTTTTGAGTTTTCAGCAGCTCTGTGTAACCCTGGTAGTTTTCTGCTCCTGGCTAGCTTGCCACATTTATGAAGCATGTACAATTCTGCAAAATGGATCAGAAATACCAATAGTAGTAACAAAAGGAACAATAGCAGTAGCAGTAGGCTAGTTCAGAAGGAGGAAAATTGGGTATTTAATGAGACAGACATTGTTTGTAGTGTTTAGTTGTGGTGTTACAGTCAAAGGACAGATGTTGTTTACAATATTTACAGTGCACCTTTGATCGGACATGCTACATCTGAATAACACATGTTTGGTACCAGTAGTTCAACTTTTTTCTGATACAACAGAGGTACATTTTGACAGTACTCTACCAAGCCTGTCTCAAAATTAACTTCCAGAACAAAACTGACCAAACACTCAAACTAAACTTTTGTATTATAGTTTAGTCCCTTATATTGTACAGAACAGATTATAGAGCGTCCCTTTAAAAAGCTGGGCGTGCCTGCTTTCCCTCTCTCCTCTGTCTCCTCTGTCTCCTCTGTCCCTGTCATGCATTGTCCCTCTGACCACTGGGCTGTGTGTTCTTTTCTCTTTTGATCTGAGCAGTTCTGATGCCTTCCACCCAATGAGCCATGCTGTCTGTTTGAGCAGCGAGCTAAAGCAGGCTTTTGTGTGCCCTCAGAAGACATGTCTCCTTGGATGGGAGCACACGGGACTCAGGGCTAAGCCAGAGTTTGAGTCCCATTGAGGAGCGCTGGAGAGGGGCCAGGGCAGGTGCAGCCGGGAGGTGGAGGTGAGGGGGGTACTTTAATGCATGGGTGATTTCTGACAGGCATAAGTTCAGTCGCAAAGGGAACTAATGGAGCCTGAGGATAAGAAGGAGTCTAATTTTAACATGAACTTGACTATCTTTGAAAAAACAGGAAAATTAAAGGTGTACCATGTAACTTTTCTGTTTAGGGAGTCTATTGCCTGTTTGAATGTTCCATAGCATGGCATTAAATGTATCTATCTTTCATTTATTCAGTTACTGTTGTTGGTATTGCTAAAATATCTTGGAAAACATATGAGTTGGGTTGCCTCTCGACAGATTTGACCTGTAACTCGATCTGGCCTGTCTACATAGAGATAGTTAAAGAGGTTTAATGTCATATTGTGGAACATTCAAGGTGAAGCAATGCAAGCTGTATGCAAACAAGCAGGTAGCGAAAAAGTAACATGGTAAATCTTTAAAGGAAAACTTATTAAGCACATGTAAAGGCAGAATTATAGTTCTGCGTCGACTCAACACACACTGTCGCTGTTGCCTTGTTTCTGTCGCCTTGTTGCCGTCGTTTTCCGAGGTCAATGCGCCGCAAATTAAGTCACCGCCTCAACCCTAGGGTGGCTAAGATTTAAAAATGGCGATCGTGTACACAAAATGAAGCGGACCGGAAATGTGTATAGAGGGGCTGTAGAGAGGACCAATCACAGCCCTTATCGTCTGCATTGCTTTCCCCTGCTGTCTGTGTTGGCTCGACACATAGTTACAAAATTTTTGAGGTGTTCATCAGTTGATGCATTCACTCTGCTGGAGGTGGGTTCAAGGCAGTGCAGACTCTCTGCGATTTAATGCACGACCATAAATTGGGTTTAAGTAATCGTAATAGTAAGCAATAGTACAGTGGTTTTGAAATTGTGATATGGGGGCACTGGTTCCATGTTTCAGACCCAGACCTGGTTTAGAACTGGTCATGAATAAATCCTAGTTTAGACATGGTTAAGTTGTAATATAGTCCTTGTTTTGACTTGGTAAACTTCTGATGTACTCCTAGTTACATCATTTCAGTCCTGTTTTAGTCCTGGTTTAGATCTGGGTTAGTCCAGCAGTTTCAAACTTTATACTTGTTGTGGTCATAGTTCAAGAAAATCTGGGAAATTTGTACACACAAAAAATGGTATTAAAAGATTAAAACCGAACCAAACCAGGACTAAACTAGGCTCAAAGCAGGGCCAAACCAGGACATGTGTGAACGCCATCTAATTAGTCACAGTTCTGTCACTGATTCTGAAAGCTGACATGGTACAAATATTATTGTTGCTAAAAGATGCAATGGCAGTAACTTTGGTAAATGTTTAAACATAAAAACAGCATATGGCTGAACTTTAATCTTAAGCAAGTGAGCAGTGGTTGTAATAGTAGTAAATGTACAAGTATAGGATCAGTAGTAGTGGTAGTACTAGTAGTAGTGGTAGTAGTGGTTGTAAATAGAAATGCACCAGCCCAGTTTTTTCAGTTCCGAACCGATATCAATACTTCAAAAACCGAACACAAGTGTAGGAACAGAAAATGGCACTTATTTCCTCAAAACACAATTTCACACACTAGAAATCCAATTGTGTTATGAGACTGTTATTTATCCTTCAAATAACTATTGAACACCTTCATAATGAAGGTTCAGATATTGAGACAGTGTAGGACAGAATCAGTCTGTAAATAGTTTTATTATATTTTAGATATTGTTTTATGTATATTATTATTATGGATATTTTATTGTATCCAATTAAAGGCCCAACCAAGTGTCTCAAGTGGAGGAGTTCAAGTATCTTGGGGTCTTGTTCACGAGTGAGGGGAGGATGGAGCGTGAGATTGACAGGTGGATCGGTGCAGCGTCGGCAGTGACACGGTTGCTGTATCGAACCGTTGTGGTGAAGAAGGAGCGGAGCTGAAGAGTAAAGCTCTCGATTTACCGTCGATCTACGTTCCTACCCTCACCTATGGTCATGAGCTCTGGGTAATGAGAAAGAACAAGATCGTGAATACAAACGGTTGAAATTTGTTTATTCCGCAGGGTGCCTTGGGGCTCCCTTAGAGACAGGGTGGCTCAGGCATCTGTTCCGGATGCCTCCTGGACGCCTCTCTGGAGAGGTGTTCCAGGGGATGTCCCACTGGGAGGAGGCCCCGGGGAAGACCCAGGACACGCTGGGGGGACTATGTCTCTCGGCTAGCCTGGGAACACCTTGGGATCCTCCTAGAAGAGCTGGAAGAAGTGTATGTGGAGAGGGAAGACTGGGAGAGCCTACTCAGACTGCTGCCCCCATGACCCAGACCTGAATAAGTGGAAGAAAATGGATGGAAGAATGGATGGAATAAAGGCCCAACCATGTTATGTGATCTAGCAACATTTTCAGTATTGGCATTGATGTTCGATATCGGTATCAGTATCAGTGCTTCCCAAGTTGTATTAGTGCTAAGTCATAGTCATAGTCATAGTCATAGTCATAGTAGTATAAATAGGTTCAGTACCAGTAGTGGCAGAAGGAAGTAATGTTTGGTGTATTCATTTTGCTGCACGTACATACATAAGAATCCTGTCATTTTCAAAGTAACTTTCACACTGTACTTTTCTGTTCTGCTTTTTAACGTTTTCAATCAAGGCATACATCTATTACGTCAAAACAGCGGGGATTTCTTTAGACCTACTTTGTTTGTTTCTTTGTCTTTCTTTCATTTGCAGTTCTTGAGAAAAAAAGTTGTTAAGCATCAGTAACTAGGTGTGCGAGACAGACGATGCAGAGAAACCACAAACCTGAGTCACATGAGGTGGATTTCCTGTGTTACTTTTTCACTTCATGAGCTGCAGAGAGAGGGCTGGCCCACACACTCACTCGGCAGCAGAGCAGGATGGTGCACTGACAGACGCTGGAGCATGCAGGCCACCATGAATTTCAATGTATTTGGTCGCAGCGAGGAGAACTGCAACCAGGAGGGCAAGAAGAAGAGCTCGCTGTGGTACCGCAGATCGATGAAGGGGAGGCAGAGGCAGAATAACGCAACTTTACCTAGAGTTTCCAAGGTAAGAGAGAGTTGGATTTGGAGTTGGTTTATTGGCAAATTAGCTATAAAAGTTGTTTTTTGCATAACAATTTCTAAAATAGTATGACTGACAAGCAATGATTAGTGAGCAAAAATTATGTTGCATATTCTAAAAGCTACTTATCATGAAATGTGTGTTTGTGCTGTAATGTTATCCAAGAAAAAAACCCACAGTATGGCATTAAACATATCTGTCTCCATGGACACAACAGGTTACACCACTAGACAAAAGTTACAAGTGGAGAGGTGATCCCCAAATATAAATAATGCATGTTTTTAAAGCGTTTAGCAATACAAAACTGTAATTGGACAAATGCAAGGCAGAGGACCACGCAAACAAAGCAATAATGTCTCCATGGAAACCAGAAGGCAGCAGAGTCCTATGAAAAGTTACATAGTGCTTTTTAAAGGAGATAAACATTGAAAATATTGCAAAAGCTACTGTGACTTTGGTTGGTTGATTGCTGACAGTGAATACAACTGTGTTTTCATGTGACACTTCATATTACATGCAGTTAAATCAATCAAAAAAGTTTAAAAATAAGAGGATTATAAACAAGTTTGCCTGTTACTCCCACCTTGACCTACTTGTTGAGAATTACTGAATTATGCAATGTAAAGTATAATACTATATATGCAAAATTCTGTTAATTTAGTCTCAAAAACATTGAAAAAAGTTCTTCATACAGCTCAATCCAAGCTGTTTAGCAAAGGTTTCGTTCACAATTTTGTTTATGGTTATTTGAAATTATAAATACAATGCATGGAAGTAGTCATAGGAAGTAAGAGTTCAGTGATTTAATGCCAGCTATGAGACCACAACGCCACCGTGTAAGCCTTCCAACTATTTTAATCTGGTCTGCGTTATATAATAATAAGAGGTATTAGGATCAGCAGGTCTTTACATTGTGTTTAAATGCACTCACTGTATTGTGCTTTCACAGCCCAAGCAGCCCACGTCACTGGTGGATTATTCTGACCCACAAAGGTAAATACAACGCAAGATTACCCAATCACTTTCATACATATACATACAAGCAGTATACCTATTTGTTTCTTTTTTCTTTTTTTTTTTACAGGACCACGATTCTACTTGAAAAACAAGACAATGAATCGTACGGTTTCGAGATTCAGGTAAGCTGTCTGGATCTGGCAAAAGTAGTAGACACAGCTGCAGTTGTGGTACTAACAGTGGTAAAGCTGAGATATAAAAAGTATCAGTGGTATCTATATTGGTTACAGCAGTATTTTAAATTGCACGCACTGTTAGATATAAAGTAGTGTTTGTAGTTGTAGAAGTAGTTTCACAGTAGCAGTTGCATGTAGTATTATTAATATACAATAAGTTGCAACAGCACAAGCAAATATAACTGCAATGTAGCAAAACAGAAAGCTAAGTGTAGTAGTGGTAGTAGACATAAATGTACTTGTGATAGTAGACATTATTGCATAACCTGTAGTATCAGTAGTGGGAGTGGTAGTTACAGTATTAGTAATATAGTAGTAGTTGTATAGATAGTAAAGATTTAATCAGTAGGCTCATTTTTATATTGGTGGAGGTTGAGGAACTAGCTGAAAAAGTAATTGGATATGCAGCTATAAAAGCATCAGCAGTAGCACTAGTGGTAGTAGTAATTGCACTTGTAGTAGCAGTAGTAGTAGCAGTAGTAGTAGTAGTAGTAGTAGTAGTAGTAGTGTTGGTAGTATTAAAAGTAAAGCAAGTTGAGTAATTGTCAAAGTACTAGTCGTTATATAGGTAGTAAAGGTTTTAACAAAAGTAAGCAATTTTTTATAGTGGTGGAAGAAGTAATAGGACAGTACATGCAGTTGTAAAAGTATCATTAGTGGTAGTAGCAGTAATAACAGTAGTAGTAGTTGTATAGGTAGTAAAGGTTTAATCAGAAAACTACTTTTGATATTGGTGGAGGCTGAAGAGCTGAAAAAGTAATTGAATATGCAGCTATAAAAGCATCAGCAGTAGCACTAGTGGTAGTAGTAATAGCAGTTGTAGTAGCAGTAGTAGCAGTAGTAGCAGTGTGGGTAGTATTAAAAGTATATCAAGTTGAATAATAGTCAGAGTACTTGTAGTTATATAGGTAGTAAAGGTTTTAACAAAAGTAGGTAAATTTTTATAGTGGTGGAAGAAGTAATAGTAGCAGTACTAATAGTAGTGGTAATAATAGTAGTAGTAATACAGGTGGTAAAAGTTTAACCAGAAAACTAATTTTTATATTAGTGGAGGTTGAAGATCTGAAAAAGTTATTGAATATGCAGCTATAAAAGCATCTGCAGTAGCACTAGTGGTAGTAGTAGTAATAGCAGTTGGAGTAGCAGTAGAAGTAATAGTAGTAGTAGTGTTGGTAAAAGTATAGTATAGTCATAGTACTAGTAGTTGTATGAGGTTTTCACAAAAAGTAGTTGGAAGTTGAAGCACTAGTTGAAGAAGTAATAAAACATCATATGCAGTAGTAGTAGTAGTAGTAGTAGTAGTAGTAGAAGTATCACCAGTTACATTAGTGCTAGTAGCAGTACTAATAGTAGTAGTAGTTGTACATGTAGTAAAGGCTTAAACAGTATTCAGATGTTTATAGTGGTGGAAGTAAAAGTTTGTGAAAGTATCACCAGTTGCACTAATGTTAGTTGTTGTAGTAGTAGTAGTAGTAGAGAAGTAGTATCAGTATCAGTAATAAAACTATAACAAACTAAATCTACTGCGGTCTATAGTTACAAGGATGGGCCAAATGCAGTGGATAAATGGACACACAGGGACAATAAAGTGTACCTAAATCCTCACCTAAACCAAAAAAATCAGATTAAAGTTGATAAAACAGATTATCTAGCACCTCATCTTGATGCAGTCACATATTCTTACACATTGTATCTCTTGCAGACTTATGGATTACCACTTAAGAACAGCACTGCGGTGGAACCTTGCACTTTGATATATACAGTTCAAGAAGACAGTATCGCTGAGAACGCGGGGCTGACCGCAGGTAAACCTCGTTCACGTCTCTACGCTGGCCCCATGCACGCTCCCTGTGACCTTTCATTTTGTATCCGCCAACACCCACACTGAAACTGCACCACAACGGTCAGAATACAGCTACAAAATTTGCTCATGCCCTTAATCATGTCTTCTTCTTCTTCTTTTTCTACTTCCTCTGTTTCTGCAGGAGACATTATCATAACTGTAAATGGCGTCAGCATTGAAGGATCATCGCATCAGCACATAGCAGACCTGATAAGAGAGTCCACAAACAGTCTCAAGTGAGTTTGAATTCAGAAATATAAAATGCTCTATGTCATCCTGATCAAAAAAATACTCCAGTGATGTATATACTGTATATGGTTCAATCAGAGTACTCTATTCTGAATACTTAAAATACTTTTACATTGAGTTGCATTTAAATTATAGTGTTAAGATGCAACATAGTATTAAAAACAGCTTCATTTTTGCTTTTTTTAAAAAAGTATTTCCTGTGATGGAAAAAAATCACACACGCACTCACCACAAGAGCAGAGTTTTCTTTTTTTCTCACTGATTCTGTGCAGTTTAAAGCCTAAGTGACATGATCAGATACCATCATGTATTCCTTTGATTTAAAAAAAAAAGTAACTGTATCCTGAATACCAACAAATGAAAAAATAACTATACTGGAATAGAGCTACTCAAAATTTGTATTCAGAATTGCTTCCCAACACTGCAAAAGGTACACTAACTAGTAAATAATAGTAAGTTTGCATTGTAAGTTATGAAGGATGAACTAACAGCAGTAATAGTAGTATTAGTGGTAGTAGACAGATACAAGATACACCAGTATTCAACAGAGAGACAGACACACACACACACACAGAGACAGATACAGACTGAAAGAGAGAGACAAAGAGAGACAGAGAGAAAGAGAGAGAGTAAGAGAGAGACAGACAGAGAGAGATATAGAGAGACACAGAGACAGAGCGGCAGAGAGACAAAGAGAGACAGATAGAAAGAGAGAGAGACAGAGAGTCAGAGAGACAGAAAGAGACAGACACAGATAGAGAGAGAGACAGAGAGAGAGCGACAGAGACAGAGTGGCAGAGAGACAGACAGATAGACAGAGACAGACATAGATAGAGAGAGAGACACAGACATAGATAGAGAAAGACAGAGAGAGAGAGAGAGAGAGAGGCAGAGAGACAAAGAGAGACAGATAGAAAGAGAGACAGAGACAGAGAGGCAGAGAGAGAGACAGATAGACAGAGACAGACATAGATAGAAAGAGAGAGAGACAAAGAGGCAGAGAGACAGAGAGAGAGAGAGCAGAGACAGACAGAGACAGATAGAGAGACAGATATAGAGAGAGAGACAGAGAGGTTACTGAAGAAAATGTACTGCAAAAAATGAAGAATTCCTCTAACTAAGAGTAGAAATACTATGATTACTCATGGAAAAACATAGTGCTAATAGTACACATTCAACACAAAGCTTTTGTCACTTACAGACTCACTGTGGGAAGAATAACTACAGCTTATTTTAATGTTACATCCTAAAATATACCACTAAAGGCTTTAATAAAAAGGTTACTAAAGAAAATCGAATGGAGAAAATGAGAACTCTCCTATAACAGTGGAGAAGTACTATGATTACCACTGGAATAACAAAGACATTAGCAATAACAGAACAATGTTAAAAATAGCAGAACAAAGTCAAAAGGTTATACTCACAATGACGTACATAAACTTTTAAAAAAGCTCAATAGTCAATCAGTAACAGCCCTTTTCCATTGGTACTACTTGTACTTTGTTATAAATACTACAATGAATAATAATCAACTGCAATTTAAAGCACTAAATAATGATTATACTGCAAAAATACCAGAAAATTAGAACACCTTTTCTATCTGCATACAACACTGAATTACTGCTATTACTATTAAAATGTGATATTATGCATCCCTAATATGTCAAGCTAAAAAAAATGGTCTAGGTCAAAATTATTCTAATATATCATGTTGTATTTTTGTATTTACAGAATTGAAACTGTAAGTGGAAATGTGGTGAAGCAGGCTGAGCTGGAAAAGAAACGAACCCAGTTAAAGGTATTGTATTTTTTCCGCACAGAACGGCCGCAGTACGGCTCTGTATAACACAGTGATAAGGTCAAACTTCCTGGCAAAAATAATAACAAAAATAACTTTTTTTTTTTACAGCAAACCCTCCGTGAGAAGCTGCTCGAGCTGCAATCGCTAACTTTACAAGAAAAGCGTTTTGAGAGAGGTGAGGCTGTCTCAGCTGTCAGACCACAACATTTCCGTTCTCACTCGTCTTCAGGGCTCCGTACCAGTATCAGTTCAGTTCTGCAGAGCTGAAGGAGGAGTTTCCCTCACTTCAAACAAGCTCTGATTATTTCTTAAGAAAATAGAGCAAATCTCAGAAAGCTATTATACTTATAAATCGAGATAAGCACTAAACATTTCAAGAATAAATGCTGTAATGGCTGCAACATCAATCAATTTCTAAACAATGGAACTGAATCGAATACAGTATATTTTTTAAATTTTGGCCTTTTCAACAACTCAAATTAAGAGAAAAACTTACTTATAAAATACTGAAAAGTCCTTATTTTAATAGGGCAGGACACATTTAAAAACTCGTGTCTGCTTGCACCTTCTTCAGGGAGTGAAAAAAAAAAAGGTGCCCTCTTAATGTTTCCTGCCCTCTTAAAATAAAGGCTTTTAAATATTTTCTAAACTGAGTGCCTGATATTTTTCTTTTTCTCTCCGTGATCTGTGCCCTTTTGAGCAGTTTAATTGTCATAAAAAAGGGTAACACTTCATAATAACTACACTTTATTTCACCTTAAAGCTACCGTCTGCAAGTTTATTTGATTTTTTTCACCTGTAGATGGCAGACGTGAAACCTGTTCCCCCTCTCCTCACCTGTGCTCTTTGGTTTTCTTCTGTCGGCCAAAGTTTGCACAGTATCAGACAAAAGTAACCTAGACAGCATCTAGTGGTGACATGTGAGAATGCAGGGGTGGGTCGGCCAGTGTAATTACACATAGGTAGCTTTAATAAGGCATGAATCTTTGGTGATGACTTGAATTATCCAGCCTTAGCAACTATTTCATTAATACACCAACCCCAATTTGTAAATTCTGAATGAAAAAGTCAGAATTTGTTCATGCTTTTTTAAGGTGTAGTTATTATAATTTGTTCCAAAGATTGTTCCTGTTCCAATTTGTGAATTTTTTGTCAACTTTTTCCAGCATCTGATTTATTTTTCTTTCTTCCTATAGGTAAATCCTTTGGCACCGTTCTCCACCCTTCAACTGAATCCGACATCAGTTCCACTTCTGGCAGACGGGGGCGCCGTTTCTCCAGCGACAGCAGCTACAGAAGCACCATGACGGAGGACAGCGACCAGGCCAGCGTATTCGGCGACGTCTACTCACCCAGTCCTTTCAGCGCGGCCATTACTGACGACAACTGCTTCTTCTCCAATAACTTTTCCTCTCAGTCCCAAAGATTTCCCTCCGCCAGCGCCCTCAGCAGCAGCTCGAGTCTGGCCGGCAGTAGCAGTTCCCTGTCTCCAGCCTGGGATGAAGCAAAGGTGTCATCCATATTTGGGACTTTGCCGAGAAAAAGCAGGAGAACCAGTGTCCGAAAGCACATCCTCAAGCTGCTCCCTGGACTTCAGAGCTCTGTGGAGGAAGAGGACACGGGAATAAATGCTCTGAGATAGAAAAAAAGAACAAAAATAAACACTAAGTAGCCTATAAATGAAATGGACTTGAAATGTACGAACTGCTCAAATGTGTTCAGGTACTGTATTTGTAAAATGTGCGCTGTTTTCTGCAAATTTAGGGTGTCAAAAATGCTGTTTGCTAAAAGTGTTTTCATAAATATATTTTTTTTTATTTTGAAATATGTTTAAAGTAGCTAAGAAAAGTACATTTTGCGTTTAGGACAAATCACATTTTTGCTTTCTATGAGAATCATGGGTTTTATTTTGTGTATTCACTAAAAACCTTGAACCTTTTAAAGCTACCATCTGTAATTAGACTTGCCGACCCACCCCTGTTGCATTCTCACACTTCACCACTAGATGCTCTCTATGTTACTGCTGTCTGATAGTGTTACAACTTTGGCCTGACAGAAGTTTCAGTTCAGTTCAAGTTTATTTATATAGTGCATTTAAAACTACGTCAGCTGACCAAAGTGCTTCACATATAAGAAAACAGAAGAAACAGATATACAGTGAACACGATACATGTGAGAACTACAATAAAAGACGAAGTTAACCCCGAGAGCACAGGTGAGCGGAAGGGGAACAGGTTTCACATCTGCAATCTACTGGTTATAAAGAAAAACAACTTCCATGATGGTAGCTTTAAGCGTTTTTTTTTTTTTTTTCCACCATTAGACAATTTAAGTATTATGTAGCTCAATGAAAAGACATTCTGTGCTCTGTGTATTGCGAGACAAGATCACTGCCTTTTTTTTGTATATTTTGTACATGGATACTTAGTTAAAGATGCACTATGTAACTTGTCTAGATGTTTTGTCCTGAAACTGTTAAAAGAATAGAGCATTAAAACCTCACATTCATTCAATTACAGGTGCTTTATTGTGAAAAAATACCTAGGGAACATGTACTGTCATTGAAAGTGGGGGTGCCTTGCCATAGATCTGACCTGTAACTGGTGGAGTCAGCTGCTTGTCTTTATAGAAATGGAAAGTTTAATGCTACACTGTGGAATTTTCCAGACAAAGCAACATCTCTCTGAAGAAAAGCAGGTGTCAGACCCTCTACCTGAAAAATTATATGTTAGTTAGTTAGTAGTTATATATACTGCACCTTTAAAGGTTCTCTATTACGCAAAATTGACTCTTGTGTGTTTTAGCCTTAGTCGAATGTTGTTATTTCATCGAAAACACACCTGGAGTTGTGTTTTGGTTCATTCGTTTCATTTGAGTAACCCTTTGTATTTGTCTGTCTAGATCTTTAAAGCTCAAAATACTCACCTTTTGATGTCACGGAGCGGTATTTTTCAAGTTAAGAGACGCATTTTAACCGAGGTTCAGTCGAGATTGTGAAATTCAGGTCTGAAATTATCCAAATTTCTGAAATTTCTATTTAAAAAAAAATAAATCAGGCTAAAGATGCAGGATTTTTTGTCAAATGCGTGTGAATGAAACAAAACACAACTCCAGATCTGTTTTTGTTGAGGAAACATTACAACATGACTCAGAAAATAGTGTAATATGGACTATTTTGCACATAGCTGTACATGGAGGCACCAAAGCATTACTTAAAGCAATGAATGTTACCTTACTCATTTATCATTTATCGATCAGCCAACTGAATGTAGCACAGTTTTAAACCACTTGCCCTCACAGGATGTCTCTTGGGTCCATATACCCGAGCTCAGGTGTTCAAAACCACCAATGCAAAGACAAACTCTCAACTATAAACAGGATGTGGGCATAGGAGTTAGTAGTTTCTTTATGGCTATTTGAGGGCATGCATGAGACGGTTTCACTATGCAGACACGCAGAATTACTTGTAAGTTCTCAAATGTAACAATAATAATAATAAAACAACAAATTAAAGTTGAATTTCATGTTTGTGTTAAAATCTGTGAACCGAAAGTACCAGAATAAGCATTTTTAGAGCTAACTACAGAAAAAGGGGTGTTTTGACACAGTAGGTGTTTGCGATAAAAATGATAAGTGGTATTTTTTGCAACCACAAAGGAAGATGAGGCTCAATTTTCTCATAAATGGATAGTTAAAAACAGAAAGCAAAAATGTAATATTGAGTATTGAGTCATAGATCAGCGAGTACATTTAAGATTTGCATTTGTAGAGCTTTTAAGAAACCTCAAACATTTCAATTGCAACATAAAACCTGTGCCTTGGTGCAGGTCTGAGCAGTGAATACATATTGCTAAACGTTTATTTTTATTAAGGAAAAGTCACCACGTTTTCGAGGGGGATCCTTATCATCCAAAGAATAGAACAAGTCGCAAAAATACAAACAAGCAAAACAAAACAATACAAAAATAAAACAACACAGAACGATAAGACAAAATACCTAGACACAGACATTAAACATAAATATAGAGAAATGTTAATATAACAACCGAACAGATCCCTCACTAAAAGCAGCCACATTGTGTTTTAAGATGAATGAATAAGTCTTTCTTAAAGATATGGAATGATGATGTGGAGCGCAGAGAGTTTGGCAAATTGTTCCATATTGTAATGACCCAAATGCTTAATACTAAAGAATTTTTGAGTAAACATGTTAATAATAATGTTGTTTCCTCATCAAAAACATACCTGGAGTTGTGTTTAGTTTAATTCACACATGTTTAACACACAAACCCTGCATATTTATGTTCTTCCCTCTCTTCTCTTCAAAACTACAACATTTATTTTGAGCTTTGGAAATGTAGACAGACTAATAATAACATTACTTAAATGTGTGACTGAAACAAAACGATTTTATTTTTATAACATAGCTGAAAGCTCACAAGAGTCCATTTTATGTAATATAGCACCTTAAGGGTGTGAAACTGCGGCAACCCACATTATAATCCTGTTTCGATCATAACTATTTTGCAGCCTTAGCATGTACCGTACCATATACTATCTAATACAACATCTGTGTATAGGACCACGGTGGGCGGGCTGTGGGTGGTTGGGCAGAAGGAAGTTTGGGTGAGTGAGTGGTTTTAGTTTTCAGAGTACGTAGGCGGGTTAGGTCGGGGGCAGGGGGGCTATGCAAACTTAAACGGAAACTTTTTTTGTACGTAACTATGAATTAATAACTTCACTTGACAAATAAATGCATGAAAAAAAGCATGCTCAACAAAAAAAAAAAAAAAAAAAAAAAGCAAGGCAAATTACACATTCGCTGTAGTAGTAGTAGTAGAAGTAGTAATAGTGTACTAGTAGTCAAATCAAGTTATTTTATTTATATAGTGGGGGGCAGGGGGGCTATGCAAACTTAAACAGTAACTTTTTCTGTACGTAACTATGATTTAATAACTTCACTTGACAAATAAATGCATGAAAAAAAGCATGCTTAACAAAAAAAAGCGAGGCAAATTATGCAGTCACTGTAGTAGTAGTAGTAGTAGTAGTAGTAGTAGTAGTAGTAGTAGTAGTAGTAGTAGTAGTGTACTAGGAGTCAAGTCAAGTTATTTTATTTATATAGCACATTTAAAAACAACCATAACATGTTGCATCAAAGTGATTTACAGCATGAAACACAACATAAATAAATATTACATAAAAGAGTTATTTCATACAAAGAGATAATAGTTTAAATAGAACTCATGGGCTGTTGAATGCCATCTTGAAAAAAATTGTTTTTAGGAGGGTTTTAAAGTGAGGTTAGGGAGGAGCAGGATCTCAGGTGATGAGGGTGAACATTCCAAAGTTTTTTGGCAACAACAGAAAAAGCTCAGCCTCCCTGGTTTTGAGGTGGGATGGTGGGACGAACAGTAAGTTGATCAGTGATGTACTGTGGCGCGAGTGAGTCGAGTGATTTAAAAACAAATATGACCATTTTAAAATCAATTCTGTATTTAACAGGTAACCAGTGGAGCAGTCTAGCAGCGCATTTTGGACTAACCGTAACCTGTTGAAGGAGGCCTGAATATAGTGCGTTGCAGTAGTTCAGTCTATTTGTTACAAAAGTGTGTATGATTGTTTCAGAGTTATTGCATGTTAGGATTGGTTTTAATTTGGCAATTTGTCTTAGCTGAAAAAGGTAGCTTTAACAATATTTTAAATTTGTTTTTCAAAGTTTAAAAGAGAGCCCATAAAAACACCAAGGTTCTTTGCAGATCTGTGCCAATTTGTGGCAAGAGAGTGAGAGTGTCAGTGTTTTTTTTTTTTTTAGCTGGAGAAAGTTAAAGGACATCCGTTTTTTTATTTCCGCAAGGCAGGCATGGAGGGTGGCAAAGGATGAGACATTTTTTGGGGAGACAGGAAGATAAAGCCGGGTGTTCAGCATAGAGGCAGTACTTAATCTGATGTTTCTCTAGAATTGAACCCGGTGGAGCATGTATAAAGAAAATAAAAGGGGCGCTAAGATGGACAGGAGCAGGGGTACACACTCTCTCACCAACTTTGACTGAAAAGGATCTCCCTGACAGATATGATGCGAACCATTTTAGGACTGAACCCTGAACTCCCTAAAGTAGTGGTGGTAGTAAAGCATGGACTTATTCATATTCATTACAAGTTGCAACAAAACAGTTACAGATCAGGATTAGCATGCAACAAATCTACATAATTAAAACATATTTTTAAATAGGGTTCTTTTTCCACACACTAAGCTTCTTGCAAACTGTCTTTTTTCTAAGAATGGGTGGATGTCCTTGTAATCACACCCAGATAACAGCATGGGGCCGTTGCTCGGAACTGTGAATGAAGCCAAAATATGTCCTATCAGCAAAAACAGAGAATTATTTGTCATTCACAAAAGAGGTGAGAAACATAAAACCTTCTGTGTTAATGAGTCAGATCAAACCCGTGCATCATCGTGTATTGAAAACAGCAGTCATTTATAATATATTAGACTAGAAACACTTTAAAATTATTGAAATATGTACCTTTCAATCTGTCTCTTTGTTTATATGATACGAAAAAGGAAAAGTAAACCCGCCTCTGCATAGTTGTGCATATGGTTTACCACAGATTCCACTGCTATCACTTGCAGGGCACGAAATTCACAAAACACATCTCATGCACACGATATTGCAGAATTAACCCGTCCCTACCCATTCCTATAAATATGTGTCGGCTTCTGTATTTTATAGGTCATCCACACTGTTCATTTAAAAAGTCTGTATTGAGAGGAATTGTACGCAGTGTGAGCAAATTACCCACAGCGGCAATAAATACCTTAGTAACCTACATTAACTATGACAGGGAATTTAAAGTTGACTGTTTGTGGTTTTGCAAATCAAGCCGAGCCTGGGTGACAGACAGACAGGCCTATTTCTGTCACTGTGCCCTATATTAGATACAGATTTAACTATTATATGCTTTAAGCCATGTAATAAAATCATACCTGGAGTTGTGTTTTGTTTCATTCACACATGTTTGAGTAACACTTTACTTTTAGTCTGTCTACATCTTCAAAACGCAAAATGGTCAGTTACACATTGTGACGTCACAAAGCAGTAATTTTGACCTTTTGTTTAGTAAAGATTGACAATTCCAGGGCTAGTGAAAGTGTATGAAGCTTTACCCGTAACATCACAGGGTGGAACAGAGTGTTTTCTGTTCTATTGAAAGAAGAACTCAGACTAAATATGCAGGATGTGTGTGTTAAACAATGTGTAAATGAAACAAAACACAACTCCAGGTATGTTTATGGTGAGGAAAAAACAGTAGATCAGAAAATAACCTAATATAGACTATTGTTTCCAAAAGACTGGGTCGCAAGAGATTTTTTTTGGTCACCTTGTCACGAATTGCATGTAGGCCAGCAATATACAGTTCAGACACATGATAGAGCGAGTGAACATCCTGTCTTCAGTAGGGCCAGTATTTCTATGCTTATTCCTTTCACTAATACATACATGTGTGAACTGGGACTTTCTGTGCTCACAAAAATGAAGACAAAGAACAGAAACAGACTAAATGCTGCGCCTGATCTGTGTGTTTTTTGTAATTATTTTATTGACTATTTTGTTCCAATATTGCTGGTTCAATTGTATGTTGCAAAGAAAAAGAAATGGGCTACATTTAATGTCCAAATCGGCAACTTACGGATCCTTTAATTGCAGGTTCAGTTACTGTTTTTCATTGTTTAAAACTTGAGAAATAATAATTGTTCAGAGAGACACAATCACTCAGTCAACAATAAAATATCCTCATTAATGTTCAATAATCCATCTTTATTTTGTGATTTACGAATAATATCTATTGACTTGGGTCGTGAAGGATTGTGACTTTTAAAAGATGGGTCCCCAGAAAAAAAAGTATGGGAAACACTGATATAGACCGTTTAAAAGTGCACTGTGTAATTTTGGCGGGTACACCACCTGCTTGCCTTCATAACATTTGCAGTTTTGCTTTGGAATGTTCCACAGTATGGCATTAAACTTATCCATCTTGCATTTATTCAGTTACAGGTGATTATTTCTCCAAAATACTCCAAAACAAAAACCTACTGTGGAACATTCCAGGAAAATAATGACATTCCACAGAGGCAAGCAAGTGGCGGGACCTCTACCGGCAAAGTTACACAGTGCACTTTAAGCGTCCGTCTTTTGACCTTTTATGGACCAGATGTTTTAGTTCAGGTCTAACTTAATGCAAATGCTCCTCAGGTTTCCTCTGAGAACTTGACATAACAGGGCTGTGAGGTTAAGTAAACCAGAGGGAATGTTAATCCGGGCTCCGGTGGTACAGAGAGATTACAGAAGCACTGCATTCATTCCATATGCAGATGTAGGGTCCACAAAGGCCCTTTGTCGACCCACAACAAAAGCCTTGTACTTCACTTTGTACTGAAAACACTGTACTGAAGACTACGCAGTCATGGGGAGACTCTTTCACGCAATGTAGGGAATTATGGGCCTCTGAGAATTATTACATTATATATTACAAAATGGCTGCCTTGTTACCTGTTTTTGGAGAAGAGGATGCAATGCCCAGTCAGATTTTGGATATTATCGGAGGGATCACACCAAAAGCTTTGCAAAGTCTAGAAGAGCCTTGCAATGAGATAGAAGCGTGGTCCATGGAGGAGGGAGATGACTCTGTGTTTTATAGTGATGAAGACACATCTCAGCAAGCAGATATTCTGGAGACAAGGAGACCGGTGAACAGTGAAGCTGACGAGATACCACTGCAGGAGGATAAAGAAGAGGAAATCATTACTGAGACTGTACACAGTATCACACAGGAGAAAGAGAAAAGAGACACTGAGGAAGAATTAGAAAATATAAATCCAAGCGCCACAATCACAGAGATGTTAGTGAGTGCACAGGATGACGTTGGTCAGCTGATACACACGGACCCAGCAGCTCAGTCTTCAAGCAACGGTAAGGAGTTGTGATTTCTTTAACCTAAATTTAAGCACTTACACCGGTAATGTAATCATCAGACCAATACAGATTATTGGACTGTCTTGTAAATAATTGTAATCTTTTTAAAACCTGCAGTGAAACAGTGCTGTTCCATAAACACAAATTAACATTGGTATCTAAACTGTGCCATAGATCTTCTTCTTCTTGTTACAGCAGATATGGACCGGGCCTATGCCTGCCCTGACCACAGACCAGCATCCTCACCAGTAGCATGTCCCTACCACATTTGCCCCAAGTCTCTCCTCTGGGTCTTTGCCCCTAGTCTCTGCCCCAGAGCATCTGAGCTCTGAGTCTTTATACAGAAATACAAGTTACATACATATCAAAGCAGAGTGACTTTTATTTCAGAGGTTGGTGTTAATCAACTTAACATACATTTGAGGACAACTAAGACAACACACAGTTTTCTGTGAGGTGGGGACAGTTGTGTCTGCTGAGCTTTTACACATGTTAATGACTGGTCTGGTCTCAGGTAAAAATCACATTCATTTACGCAAAGACAGATTGAGAGAAATCTTTCCACTATATAAACTTCCATCACAGATGTATACAATATATATATAAAAATGTTTTGTGTGTGCTTTTGCAAATTTGAGACAATAGGAAACAAGTGCTTTCCAAAGGTTCCTAGGAACATCCTGCATATGCACTAACCTGCACTGGGGGAATGCAGCCGCTGTCCCGGCTTATATCTTGACCCAAATGGTTTGTTGCATATTTGTGACACTCGAGGTTAAGGGGATATAGCTGGGGTTATTTGTTAAATTAGCTAAACAACTTTTCATAAAAGATCCACATTTGACCAGGGTCCAAATTTTACAAAACCATTTGGTAATTTCTCATATCATTAATCTAACTGCCTATATCAGTATGATACTTAAATAATATAAATAATAATGCTTTAGCTTTATATAGTACTTTTTCAAACTGACTTTACAGTTTCATTTATTATTCATTCCATACCGGGTAGTGGTATGTTACTATTATTGCCACTGTTGCCCTGGGGCAGTTTGATGGAAGCAAGGCTGCCAGTTTACACCATTAGCCCCTCCAGCTTCCACTAATCACTCATGCACCTCATTCACACTAGGCAAGGAAAGTGAAGTGATTTGACTAGCAACACTTTGCATGATTAGAGTTACTGCTGCTCCACTGTGGCACCTGCTATTCCCAGTGGTCTCCCATCCATGTACTAACCGGACCCAACCCTGCTTAAATTCCAAAATCAGATGGAATCAAGAATTGAAAAGGTGATTTGTTTTCTTTTTGTCCATAGATCTTACAGATTTTTCTTCATCATCCAAAGAACCAGAGTCTTCAAACCAACTTCCGGGCACTTACTCTCCTTCACTTGCGGTGTATAGGAAGCCTGTGAAAAGCCAGAACCAGCTCCAACATGGCTCCCAGGATCCCAGCGAGGGTCCATGTATACCAGCTTTAAGTAAGAAGAAGTCTAGCCACCCCAAGTCCTTCAACCACCTCACGTCCTCCAAGTACAGCACCCTGTCCTACCGCAAGATCCGCCGAGGCAACACCAGGCAGAAGATAGAGGAGTTTGAGTACATGATTATGAACCTGTAAAAATACAATATTGGATGATCAAAATAACACAAAAATATAACGTATTCTAGCTTTGGAGACTACTCTTGACAATGTGCAGAAATAATTTTGAATAATTTTTAACTGGTGCACTGCACAAATTTTCTGGTGAAGAGTCTGCTTCCTGCTTGTCTCCATTAAGCATATCCATCAAGCTTTTATTCATTACACGTGATTCTACTGATCAAAAATACAACCATCCCTCCTGTGAATAGGGGTGACTCTCCACAGATCTGAATTGGAATGTAGTGTAGTGCTGTATGTGTTTAATCGATACTGTGGAACTTTCTAGACAAAGCAAATATTCAAGGGTCACCAAAGTTTTTTTTCTCTGGGGGCCACATTATAGCTCTGGACTGTGATGGGGGCCGGAGTCAGGTCGGCTGTATAACAGAATTATATGACCCTGATGACGCAGATTATATTTTTTGAAAACCGCCACACTTTCTTTACATATCAGATGAACAGCACAGTCCTTAAACTGAACAAAAAAATAATCATCCAGTGTTCTTTGAAAACTTGGCACTCTGTAAATTTTTCCTACTTTAAAACTCGCCATTTTGCTGTTTTTACCTGCACTACAGAACTCTGCGCATGTGTTGACTGTCAGTGTTTGATCTTGAGCTTGTCAGGTGACGAAAATTTGGTGTCAAATGTAAATACATGATCATGATTTTAATATACATATAAATACATCATATAAATATATTTTTTTTATTGGAAAAAAATCTACAAAATACAAGATACAGATGTGTTATCATTTGCCAAAAAGAAAGTAAAAATAATTGGCCATGACAACTTTTGAGGCTAGGGCCAGGTGATGGGGGGCAGAGGAGCTGTGGGCACAGTTAAAGAGATAAGAGATAAGATATGCCTTTATTAGTCCCACAGTGGGGAAATTCCAGTGTTGCAACGCACAATTTCAGAACAGCAGGAAAAGGTAACACAGATAATAAATAATAGCTTAAAATAATTTAAAAATAGACTTAAAAATAATTGCACATGTTTATGATTGACTGGTACATGTTCAGTGTTAACAGTGTTTGTTGTACAGTCTGACAGCAGCAGGAAGGAAAGACCTGCGAAACATCTCCTTCACACAGCGAGGGTGAATCAGTCTGTCACTGAAGCTGCTCTCCAGAGCAGACAGAGCGTCCTGCAGGGGGTGAGACTCATGGCCCAGCATAGAGATGACCTTAGTCAGGACCCTCCTGTCCCCCACCTCCTGCACTGAGTCCAGAGGACAGCCCAGGACAGAGCTGGACTTCTTGATGACCTTGTCCAGCTTCTTCCTCTCCCTCTCTGTGATGCTGCTGCTCCAGCAGACCACATTCTGAAAAACAGTGCGTTTCTGAAGTTAAAAAAAAAGTTTAAAAAGTTGGAAAATAGAGGAGCGCGATGCAACCAGCTGCGGTTCTCACCAGCGCCGGAAGTAGAAACGGGGCGTGGAGGGCCGGAGTTGGCCCATGGGCCTTAGTTTGATGACCCCCGCAATATTATTTCCATGGAGACAAAAGTGACAAAAGTAGCGGACCCTTCACTAGAAATGTTCTGCAGTGCAGCACCTTTAAGTAACAGTAAATGTCTTTCAACAGATTAGACATGTATTATACTGTTATAACATGCTAATACTGAGAGACCGCTCATATCCTTGTACTTGTGTCTAATGTAATAATAAAAGTCATTTAAGAGTCATATTTGCTTTATAGAAAACTTATGATTTATTTCACAAAAGATTTCTGTAAAATCTCATTAAATAGCAACCCTGACTGAGTAGTGTTTTGAACAATACTGCCCCCTTGTGACAAAAAACAAAATCAACAACAATCGTCACATTCACAAATGATTCTGGCTCGTCTTTTTTAATTGCCTCATACGTGATTACTGCATACTGCAACAGCTTCATACATCATATTTGCCATTGCCTCATGATCTTGAGATTTTAAATTAGGCAGTTGTATAAATAATAAACATTATTCTTTGAAATTATAAAATCAAAGTGCCATGATACTCAAAAATGCTTTCAGACGAGATGTAGAAAAAAAATTAAAGTGGTATTGAAAATCACTGGTATGTTTGATTCATAATTAACAGGCACTCTTCTTTGCAACCCAGGAAGTCCTGAATTCTCCATGAACACATCAAATACTTTACATTACATTAAACACAATGGCACGTCAGAAAAAGCACGTAACAAAAATATATACAGACAGAGACAAAATGTATACATATGATTCCAGCTACTTTTTTTCAAATCTAGATAAGGCTCTTTGGCAAAAAAATGATATGTTATACCATAACCTTAACCATAGACTGTATAAAGAAGTGGACTAAGGGAGTGTGACGTCACCCATAGTGTTTGGCTCCAGTCAAATGAAGCTCATCGAGGCTGGCAGTTACAGGAGTGAATTTGGAGAGAGGTTTCATATTAAGAATAGACAAAATCGCAAACTAAAAACACCAGAACTATGTAGAACGGGTCAATAAGGACATTTTAAGACCAAAATGACGAGACTCACTGCAGCAGTTACAGAAAGAGTGACAATTTTTCAATGTAAACTCAATTGAAGCCAGAGTTGATGAAGCAGGAAGTACCCCCATGCTCATTTCTGTTTGGAACACTGCGGCTCAAGGGTTTGCTATGTCCATTTATGTATACAGTCTATGGCCCTAACAGTCTTTTAAGGACATATAGGCATTTTTGTTTCTCCATTAGGCACAGCAAACAGTGGTGGAAGAAGTATTCAATTTTGTTACTTAAGTAAAAGTACAGATACTGCAGCAAAAAAAAAACAACAAAACACTAAAGTAAAAGTAAAAGTATGACATGAAAGAATCTACTTAAGTAAAGTAGGAAAGTACCTGTTTAAAAATGCACTTAAAGAGAAAAAAGTAAAAGTATTTTGCAGTATTGCAGTTGTACTTTGAAATCTAATAAAGCTTTAGATGTAGTGATTTTAAGAAAGATTTTTGCTGAATTTTGTTCAGCAGAAACAGCTGAATCAATATTTCTTCTAGCTGTTTTTATTTGATTTATTTGTTGTTGTATTTTTGTTAGCTCAAACTACAAATTAGTTAAAAATGAATGCTCCGCCTTTTCAGCAGGTCTCAAACTATAATAAAAAAAATACTTTTACTTTTCAATCCAGTTCAAACATGTTGTGGATTAGAAAGTACGGATATCGGCTCTCAAATGTAAAAGTAAAAGTAAAAAATATCCACTGTAAAATGTGCTGAAGTGTAAATTCTAGGTATCTGCACTTTACAGTTCATTGCTACTTTTACTGTGTTACATTCCACCACTGAAAACAAATAAAAACATTGCACAATCCCATTCACACAAATAGCCCCCAGAAAAGTCCACCACCAAAGCGATTCCAAGTTACATTGAAGCTGTAGGACCACAGTTCATTCCAGTCTGAAGATTAGGCAAAGTAATGTGTCAATTCCCATTTCTGAAAAGCACTATTGTGGTCACATAGTCGAAGTAGGACATCGTCTCCTTTGGGTGCAGCCTCCAGACACATGCGACGGCCAGTGTAGTCGGTTATGAAGTGGTCGCCCTTCACAAAGACAAAATAAGTCATTATAACCCAAACAGCCTTGCAAATCATGTCAGTGGTGGTAGAGATAGTGTCCACATTCTATGATTCTATGATGTTGTTTCAGATAGAGGGAAGTGTCCAATGTGATAATGTTTGACAGAACATTTTCCACAACATTAATCTTGTCTCATATCTATTATAAAAAGTCTTAATGTCTGTGGTCAAAGAAGATACTTTGTGAAAGATCTGGTTAAAGTTGATAGGCCAAATAATGACATCAAAGTGTATGTCAAAGAGATGTTTTGATCGAACAGTAAATTCTATCACAGAATTCTAACCTGCGCACCACTTCCTTAAAGCAAACTTATTACGCAGAATCAGGTTTTCAGAGTTGAAGCTGTACTTGGAGCGATTTCTGCATGTTTGAGTAATCTTTAAATCGCTTATTTTCAAGACACCATATTGCTGATCAAGTTCCGTTTTCACCATCCCCTGCGTACACCCAGTGCTCTGTACTTACTTCAAACTCCAATTTGATCATTATTACATGATACACGTAGGATTCAGCAGCCTAGCATACTCATTTTGATACTAAATCTGAGGCTCGCTAGCCTGGTCTGCACATATCCATCGGAGGTGCCTACAGCTGCATGGCTCTTTTTTGTGACGCAGAAGTCAGTGGACTCATTTCTTTTATGAAGTTGTATTTGATGAATATCGCAAATTATAACATATTGCACCACAGTTGTTATAGATTAAGTTATTCTAGATATAAATATCTGGAAAACCCAAGCACAATAAATCTGTTTTGAACTGTACATGGGTTTCAAAATGATGAGAAATTAGGATATTGCCATAGCAACAAGATACTCAAAAATATATTACACAAATTAGGACACTGTCATAGCAATTAGCAATCCAAAACAATATATAACATCTTCTGAATGGTCAAAAGACCTCAAAATGTGACCTATAAACAGGAAGCTGAAACTCGAGTAGGCTCTTAAGAATGTTGTGATCATGTGACTCACCAATGCCGAGTTGCCCAGTTTGTGGTTCCATCGGAATCGTACATTGGCCCGCTCACACAAGAATAAACCAACACCGCCCTCTTTGTTCTGTGGGGCAACGCAAACGTTCTGCTGCTGGAGATTTCTCAACCAAGTGTAATTAAAGTGTTGACTCTATAAAGGGAAAGAAGCATATAATCAGGCTGAAAAAGAAAACATTTTGGCAAAAGAAGAGTTGATTCTACATAAATCAAGGTTTTGTGTTTATGTTGACGTAGGTTGTGTCCTTGACGGCTCATGTTTGCAAGATATGGTTTATATTTTTGCTAAGCTACAAGTTTAGACTAGTCTGTGTCTAATCTAAAAGGACAGTGAATTATTTTCTAAATGTGTTTCTAGTAACAAGCAGAGCAGCAGAGATTCAGACAGTAAAATGGCAAAAGAAATCAATGTAATACCTAAAATTATTAATTCAATAAATTTTAAATGACAAAAAATACATAAATAAATGGACCTAGTACTGGGAATCAGATAGTAATCAATACTAAAACTAATGAAAACTAGATAATCAATTGAGCAAGTATCGATACGGTAATAAGTCACATTTTCAAGACAAAATCTGAGGTTTTCTGAAAAGTTTTAGTATGATTTTGAGTGCTATGAGATATAAGACCTCATGGTAACAAAGAAAGTAGAATCATTTTGCATAGAAAATTATAATCTATTACTTGAAAAAACTTCAGTCTAGTTTCGAAATCTGAGTACTGAGTCAGTTTTTTAGTATCAAAATCAAGTTTGAAATGTTAATATTGTGACAACACTAGAACTAGTGCGTGCATACATAAAGAAAAACATAAAGGGAAACCCAAACCACACACACTAAAAAAAGTTAAACATTAAATTCTCAATACTGGGAGTGTGCAAACCATTATACCATTATTATTCAATGCATGTGCTGTTTACTTAACATTGGCAAGCCTACCTGCTGGTTCAGATCACAGGTTTCAAAGAGGAGAGATCCTTTATGGAGAGTGAGACATTTTCTCAAACCTTGATTGAACACCTGCAAAGCCACAAATATATTCAAAACAGCGCATTCACAACAACATTTAAAATTTTGATGCTTAATGACCCTTGCTTATTTTGCCTCGGAGAATCCTAACAGCAGGCTCTTAAAAACACCATGGGCATTGTTTATTACCACGACTCTTAATTAGTTTCTGTTCTGTAAACTTTGCTGCAAGCTCTCCAGCAGAGTTGCATACTAATCAATGCAAATTCTCAAACTTGATATTTTTGAAGAAAGTAAACAACTTTCTAACGGAATTAAATATGACAAGTTTTACATACCAGTCCCTCTGCTTTGACTACAGGGGCGTCTGCGTCTGGGTACACGTTTTCCAAGTACCACTGGAAGCTCTTGCACTTCAGCTTTTTCCTCAGTTCAATTTGGTCTTTGAGGTCGCCAATGTCAATATTGTTTTTGTCCAGCAGGTGGTGGTATCCGTGTCCGTAGAAAAGGTCTTTGTATTCGTCCAGCCACACTTCAGCCACCCGGGCCAGGTTTCTCTCCACTGTCTTCTGTCGATCTTTGGGGAACTTGTACGGGTTTTGCCCCCTGAAAATATGCCCCACTCTGGAACAAGGGATGATCTCTATTTCTCCTCCGCACATCCAGATCTGAAGCAGCAAAATAAAATGATTATACACACTTTTCTGTTAAATGGACACTGTTAAAACTATTAAAGGTACATTATATAACTTTTTGGTTGGGGGTTCATCACAGTCTTGTTTCTATGGATATGTCATTGCCTGCTTCAAATGTTCCACAGTATGACATTAAACAGATCTACCTTATATGTATTCAATTACACGTCTGTTTATTTATTATTTTATATAAACAGAAGTGTCAAGGTAGGGCCATTTCTCATTATACTCATTATTATACTCAGCAGTATAGTAATTAGATTAATTATATTACAATTACAATAATTAAATGACCATTGTATGGAAGATACTGTCTGTTTACACACTTTACAAAGCTGTAGTACAGGGATCTCCAACCTGTAACTCGGGAGCTACGAGTAGCTCTCCACCCCTTTCCAAGTAGCTCACCAAAGGATTTCGGAATTATACATATTGCACTCAATAACTCAAATTTGACTGATTAAATGTCTATTTCCTTTGTAAATGTATAATTTTGATGCCTAATTTTGTGCACTGATAACTGGATAATGGGTTATGTTTTATAGACATCTAACTGTACCTCATCTACGGGTTACCGTGGCTCTTATATTTACAAAATTTCTGTCGACCGATAAAATTAGAGGCTCTCTGGCATTTTCGTTTTACAAAAAGTAGCTCCCAGGCTGAAAAAGGTTGGAGACCCATGTTGTAGTAGGATAACTGGTCAATGTTGTCATAAGGCTTGTACTTTTCCTGTTATACTGTAATTCTACGATTCACTTTATTATTATTGCGTAGGTGGAAAATTTGGCGTAATGCATACCTTGAAAGAGATCTCCATATTCTCTCCGCCCCACACATCCAAGCCGGGATCATACGCACCAAGCTCGTAGAAATAGCTCTTGTCTATGGAGAAGAGTCCCCCAGCCATGACTGGACATCTGCAATCCATATTATATTATTATATTATGGAGAACAAATGTGCGCTGGAATGTGCATGAAAAACATGTGTAAAATGTATTGTTTGAACCTGATGGGATCTGCTATGGTCATGTTATGCTTCTTAATGTAATCTTGAGACAGAGGGCTCCATCCAAACACCAAAGGCCATTTGAAGATACCACGCTGGAAGTTGTCAACCAGAACATAACTGCAAAAGAAAAGTGTGATAAAGTTAGAAGAATTTATATTTTATTTGAGTCAAATTATATTCTCTGGCTTTTAACACCACATAAGTTGTGTGGTCCTCTGTGTCTTTTTTCATTTATTTTACTTATTTACTGCTTTTTTATCATTTTTGTGGTTTTGCTTTTATTTGCTTTTCCTAGGTTTTATTGTTTTAGGACTGGTATAACCAAATTTTAGCAATTTAATTTTTTATAGGTCTTCATTTTATGATCTCTGTGCAGCACTTTGGAACCTGCTTTGATAGTAAAATGTGCTATAAAAATAAAGTGGATTTAGATTTGGATTTGGATCAAATGCTGATCAGCTGTAAAGTGTTAATTTACAGTTTCTAGCTGAAATCCAAAAATGTATTAAAAACAGTTGCGACTGTCACCTCATATCTTTGTCACTGATGACTTCAATAACTGGACAGGGTACTTTCTTGCGGTCCAGATAGACTCGCTCCAATAGCGGCTCCAACCAGCCCACATTACATTCAATGTGTGAGTCCAGGAAAGTCAGAACTTCACCTGTAACAGAAACAATAATCCTGTTAATATTTCTATATAAAGACCATATACAGTGTAGCATAGTTAACAACACCATACAAGGGGGTGTGAAAGAAAAAAAACAACACTTTGTACATTGTACTTTGATCTGCATTTCTCTGTTAAACAGTTCTGCAACAATATTGTAGCTTTTTATTTTTCAGCAGACTTGCAAGAGGATTAAGTAAAAACAGATGTCTCTAGAAAAAGAAATGTGAATGGTTTCATACAAGATTTATTGAGATGTAATAAGCCAAAATGCCATGCTACACCCCTATTGCGTATCTTTTGGTTCATTTTTAGTTCCACACTTGAACCAGATGTTTTCAATATGAATATTTCTGAAGAAGTGCAGCATCTGTCTGTGTCAGTTTCCAGTTTTCAGTTTTATTACTTTACCTTTGGCCACTGCTGCTCCAGCCATTCTGGCCCTGATCAGACCTTGACGCTCCTTCAGACGGACTATTTTAACTTTGGGAAACTGGGCCATGTAGTTATCCAACTGCTCCTTCAAATAATCTGTAACAATAAATACATATTTCAACATCTAAGTTAAGTAAATAAAGCCGCTGTGTTTAAAGGCTTAATGAAGTCTTAGCCCAAATAATTACTCTAAAGTGAAAAAAAGTTCTAAATGAGGCCTACACCCACTGATTAATAGTTAGAATATACTTATTTTTCAGATTCTAAGTCGCACTTTTTTTCATGGTTTGGGTGGTCCTGCGACTTATACTTTGGTGTGACTTATATATTAAAATTTTCACACTGACAACCGCGAGAGAGCGCTCTAGGCTTGTGTGTTGGTATCTGCTACTCCTATTACTCCTGTACCACTGTCACTTGGCTCTACTGCGCATGTCTCCTGCAGAAAGAGCTGCTGTCCTGTCTGGTATGATGTCAGTCAGTCGCACCATTACTTCTGTACCAATTTAAACAAACTTTTTAAGACAACTGAGAAGACTGAACACAAATGCCAAACCAAAAAGACAATCATATTTTGCAGATTACAAGCTGCAAGTAATAAAATATGTAGTTGAAAACAGTAATTCAGCAGCAGAAAGACAGTTTGGAGTGAGCGAGAAACCAAGAGGGTGCACCATGCAACTTTTGTGGAAGTCACTGGATGGATCGACAAAGCCTGGACTTCAGTGAGAACCAAAACCATCCTGTCGGGATTCAGAAAGGCCGGAATAATTCTAACTGGAACTGATACGGAGTCTGACGACAGCTACACAGAAGAGGAGGTGGCAGGAAAAGGTAATATACGATACCATTTTTGATCTAATACCAACAGATTTTTTTTTTCCAGAATGTGTGTCTAATGACCAAAGTCATAATATAATAATTACTGTTGCCTTGACAGTTATCAAATTTGTGACTCAAATACTTAAAATTGTATTACCTCTGGTGCTGCAGTCATCCACCAGAATAATTTCCTTGAGGAGATGCGGCGGAGATCTATTAAGAACACTGTGCACCGAGCGAAGAAGCGTGGACCAAACTTCATCCACGAAACAGAAGATCACACTGGTGGAAGGTAAGTCATTGTGGACCAGATTGTCTTTACACCTTGTGAAAGAGAAAAAAAAATCATTCACATAGGTAAATTTGGAAAAAAAAAAAAGTCATTATGAATACTAAATTGCCAGGTAATACTTACGTCTCAGGCCTTGTATCCGGGATAGCTCTGTCTAAGGGAATCTGGTCACTTAAGTGGACATTAAAATGCCCCTCGGCCCACCTCTTCTGCACTTCTGCATCCTCTTCGCCGCCCAGGATAACAGCATGACCGAACTGGCCCACTGCGTTGGGATTTCTGGGAGCCTGAGTCATATCTAGTGAAAGCACTTTATGGACACCTGGCTCTTTCCTAACAACCGTGACATTTTCTTTGAGGTCCACTTTCTCCTGGTGTTTGGGCACAGATTGGAGTAATTCTTTCGCCTTTACTGCTTCATCTTTGACAGCTGTCTTGACTTGCGTTTCTGTAATTGTCCTGTTTACCTGACTTTTTACATCCTTAATGGGTGGTTTGGTAGTTGTTTTAACAGGGTGTGGCTCTTTCTCTTTCTCAACCTTAAATTGTGCGGTTGTCTTAGCTTGTCCAATGTTTAAGTTGCCTTGTGGCTTTGGTGCAACATCATCTTTTTTCTTTGGAAGTTCTACTATTTTACCTTCTTGAATGCTAGACTGAAGTTTGGTTTCATTAGCTACAACAACTTTAGCAGCAGTCTTTGTAGTAGGTTTAGGTTTAGGTTTACTGGAATCCAACTGATGCTGTTCATTGATGTCCAAATCCACTCGTACTTTGGAAGGCTTTTCGGTTTGTAATTTTTTTGGAGGATCATTTTCTTTAGAATCCACCCGCTTGTCTGTAATAATTTGCCCTTTTCTCCTCCCTCTGTACACATTTTCAGCCAAGTCATGAACATGCATAGCTTCATTACTGGCTTGTTTCACGCTTGGTATGACCCTTTGAACTGGGTGTCCAAATCCCCCCTTTATCACTTGAGACATTTTGGACTGTTGCTTGAAAATCTCCCTCTCTTTGATGACTCTCTCCTTCAGCATTTGACTGTTCACGTCGTTTATTGACATGCGTAAAGCTGCCATGTCAAACAGCAGCCATATGATCGATGCGATGAACACGAATGCCAGCACCCTCCCACTGCCCCTCAAGTATCTCCTCAGCTTCATCATTCTCGGATTCTTACTAAATATTACTTTCTGGGCATGTCTAAAAATAGTTCCTACGATTTTGTCCACGTGTGAGATGTGCTTTCACTGTTCTTCTTTTGCAGATAAGCCTGTTGCCTGCGTGGCATGCTAGAAACCATACATGCAACGACTGCTATAGATCAACGCAGTGAGTGACAAGCCCATGATTACAGTATAAAGTTTGTTTTCCATACCGCGGCGATCCCGTTCATCTCCAAACGCGTAGAAACATTACGATAAACACGTTATACCTTCCGGATCACCTCGAATAGATTAGCGCGACTGAAAATCCGCAATTTCTTCCTTTTTAATCTACAAACCACAACTTTGACTGACAGTATGATTTGTATGAGGACGTAGCTACCGACTTCCACTTGGACGACGCACGCTGATTGGTCCAATTATAGGACACGTCACGGTAAACGCGTCCACCACGTAACGTCACGCTAAGCTACCAGAAATGAGCCGCTGACGTACAGGAAGTAAATATGTAAACATTGGACTCGAGAAGTCGACCTCTCCTTACTTTTACTTAAATTAATGGCTTATTTAGATTGAACTTGCAATAATATGTTTTTTCCATGCTCAAAAACGAGCTACAACCGCGTGCCCTCCGTTTAATCGGGTAATATTATTGTGAAACAGGAAGCTATTTCCCAACATTGCTATCTGAACTCCTTTATTACAAACTTGGCATAGTTTAACTTAATAGCCCCAGAGTTAAAAGCAGAGGGAGTATACAGTAAGTGTCGCCACCCCATAAACACATAACACCACAAAGCACACGTGTCATATTAAATTAACCAATAACCAGTGTTGGGAAGGTTACTTTTAAAATGTATTCCCCTACAGATTACAGATTACATAGCCCAAAATGTAGTTTGTAATGTAATCCATTAAATTACTTAAAATGAGTAACGTAATCTGAATACTTTGGATTACTTGATATTGTTATAGTTTTTAAAACTACATGAAAGTACTGACCACATCCTGAAAATTCTTGTTTGTTCTCTTCAAATTGTCTGTTGAGCCCAAGTCTCCATGAACAGGCGTTTGTTTACTGTAAAGTAGCAAAGACGAGGATCTGAACATATCTGCTTGAAGACAATAAAAATTCCAGTCTTTCCTTAACCTTATTAAAAATATTATTGATAAAGAAATGCTTTTTATATGAGGTCATATAAATGATTGCCTGAAATTATGTCCACCCTAATGTTAGGTATCATATTGTTTAGATCTGGTTTAGTTCTGGTTTTGGTCCTGGTTTTAATCTTGGTTTTAGTCCTGGTTTAGTCCTGGTTTGGTCCTGGTTTTAATCTTGGTTTTAGTCCTAGTTTAGTCCTGATTTAGACCTGGTTTAGTCCTAGATTTAATCCTGGTTTTAGTCCTGATTTAGTCCTGGTTTAGTCCTGGTTAAGTCCTGGTTTTAGTCCTGGTTTTAGTCCTGGTTTAACCCAAAATGTGAAAACAGGAAAATACAGTCCTGTAATCCATTTATTTCAACAAAGTTACTGTAATCCAATTACCACTCACAGAAACAGTAACTGTAACCAAATACAGTTACTCATAATTTGTACTCTGATTACGTAACTCCAGTACATGTAATCTGTTACTCCCCAACACTGCCACAACATATGTCTTGTCTGAGGAAAGGTTCTGGTGTCAGCCTGATTAAATATTAGCTATGGTAAGTGTGCCTGGAATAGGATAAACACACCTTGATTTAGGATAGAAGAACCTGCATGCCCGCATTTCAATCTCACTTGAGTGTAGTTCAGGAACCACTGTCTAACCTGTGCAACAGTGTTATTAATAATCATCATATGGCATATAGTTGCCCAGAATAAGCTAAAAAGTTACTATTATTTCAACAAAGTTACTGTAATTCAATTACCACTCACAGAAACAGTAACTGTAACCAAATACAGTTACTCATAATTTGTACTCTGATTACGTAACTCCAGTACATGTAATCTGTTACTCCCCAACACTGCCACAACATATGTCTTGTCTGAGGAAAGTTTCTGGTGTCAGCCTGATTAAATATTAGCTATGGTAAGTGTGCCTGGAATAGGATAAACACACCTTGATTTAGGCTAGAAGAACCTGCATGCCCGCATTTCAATCTCACTTGAGTGTAGTTCAGGAACCACTGTCTAACCTGTGCAACAGTGTTATTAATAATCATCATATGGCATATAGTTGCCCAGAATAAGCTAAAAAGTTACTCACAGTATCTGAATGACTTCATATCGTAACTTAAAATCATAACTTAAAAGGTGCAACATACTCAGCCTGGCTGTCTGTCACTGTTAAATTAACTTTATTTTGTATTATCTCATCTTGTTTAACTGTAACTTGAGCACTCCACTCCATCATATAAAGCCATGTTAATGAGACGCGCCTATATATGTGTTCATGGAAATGACAACTACATTTGCAAACCAAACATAGCTTTGCCTGAGAGCAGCAACACTATTTGACTGTATGCAGAGGAGGTTATTGGGGCTTTTGACATGATAAAAAAAAAACATTATAGCATACAGTATTTTTAAAAGGTCAAATTTGACCCATCTCCTGAACATATTTTGTATTCTTCTAAATTAGTTTCACTTCCTTGGTTGCACCCACCTCACTCCTGACACAATAGTGATTATATATTCCCATGTATGTTGCAGCACAACAGTCACATGTGCTGTTTGTGCATTAGTTCAGCCATTAGGCAGTGATTAGTGAAGGTGACGGCAGGCTTTCCTCTTCATCGGCGGCCTTCTCTTGGGAGCCCCATTGACTCCATCCAGCCTATTAACAGCCCCCAACACGAGGAGGAGGGGACGCTGCCTCCCATGGTGGCTGCCCTTAGCCGCACTACACACGCTTTCATTAGTGTGTTAGCTAAATGATTGGCCTGAGGACAGCCCCCAAGCCCTGCGATGCATGTGTTAGCTTATGTTCCATCCGCCGGTCAATTTATTCATTTATTCAGCCATTTCCGCATCCACACTCTCATGACATCATTTGGTACTATTTAATTGCATGGTCTCTAAGCTGATGGGTATAGGTAAGAAAATGCACGGGTGACACAGAGGTGACACAAAGGTGAACCTCAATAAACAGGAGATTGTTATTCAAAAATCCTATGGTGACTTTACTGGAGGCTATACAATGGATTTGCAGGGATATATGTGGTCATACTCTTTTACTGCTGTATTTGGAGTTGTATAACATAAAACACAATGATAAACCACATTTATAGGTTACAGACTGGAAGAATGCATAAAATCAGTATGGTCTTAATAAGTGTTTGCTTTCTGATCATTCCAATCTTGCATGTAACCTATATTGCAAATTAGCAATACCTTGAAGGCTCTTCATTCAAACACACTCAAACATTGTGTTCTTCAGCCACATTTCACCCAGCTGTCAGTGTGGCTGTGAGTGTGTGCAAAGGCAGAATGGTTGCCACATCACTGTCAGTAGACCCAGGGCAGCTATGACTATGAGAGGTGCTCGAACAGATGCCGTTTGTGGATTAGATTATGTATTGTGCAAAACTGACTTTTGTGTGTGTTAAGACATAGGTGTGTTTTGTTTCAAACAGACATGTCTGAGTGAATCTGTTTTTTAGTCTATCCTTGTCTAATCCTCTGCTCCACCCTGTGATGTCATGTAGTTTGATAGTTTTCTAGTTAACAGCAACATTACCTTTGGTCCAGTGTAGACTGGAAATTCCAGGGCTGAAACTACCTAAGTAAGTCTTGTAAAGTTGTATAAAGTTTAAAAACACAATAGAGCACCTCCTGTATTACCACATGACATTACAACGTGGAAAAGAGTGTTTTAAGTATGAGAGAAGAACTCTGCCTAAATATGCAGGATTTGTGTGTTAAACATGTTTGAATGGAAACAAAACACAACTCTGGGTATTAGGAATGTAACAATATCAAAATCTCAAGGTACAATATTTATTGCAATATTTTGAAGAGGCTAATATAATTGTAGATGGATCCCTTTTTTGCTTTTAAAATACCTTGAGAAGATTTTGGTGTCAATTATTTCCATCATAATCCCAAGAATTCAAGTAAAAAACATATCTCTTCATGTCGCCTGCACTGAAATGAATCATGGGTTTCCGATGTTTATAAGTCGTTGCTACTATAAAACCATGCATAATTCGATAATTCGATATATGTGACAGCCCACGATGTTATTGTGAGACTTCTGACGATACAATATCACGATATTTCGGTTATTGTTACATCCCTATTGGGTATGTTTTTGATGAGAAAACATTATAACATAGAACAAAAAATGGTAATATGGGGCCTTTCGTAACAGTGGCAATCAACCCATCAGTGCACTATATTCCCCATATGCAGCAGTAATCACATCGCCTCATTTATAACACAAGGGCCTGTTGACCCTAATACATGGAGCAAGTGCTGGGCCCATATGCGGCTATTAGAAACATACTAGTCACGTGTCTGCCATGCTTGACTGCTGATGAGAAGCCCTCGCACAGTTCTTATGACAAGAGAAAGTTCAACATTGTAATACCACCAATCAAACGGGGAACTTTTCGACCTACCTGACACGTGCAACTTAAGCCGTCTCACTGCTCTCCCATCAAAAGGGATCAGACTAATGCTACCCCTGCGGTGGCATGTGTAAAAGGAGCTAAATGCACCGGTAAGATATCTTCAGAACATGCTAATTACAGCCCGGAATTAAAATGACAACAGTTGGTCGACTCGTGTGTGATTTACATAGAGGTCATGTTGTGCTAATACGCAGCTAGCAGGAACAGACAGCCAGCAACAATATGGTTAATCTGACCCACTGACATTTTCAGCTCCAAATTATGCACATTGTGTGAATTAAATTAATTAGGGAATTCATTAAGAAATACGGCTCGCGGAAATGAGTATAATATTTAGTTATGTGATGTAATTTTCTTTCATTGTTAAAGCTAATTTGTTTCACAACACTTCCTGCGGTAGTTTGCCCACCGTGCTAACCATGATGTATGTAATTTGTTAGCCACTTAATTAATTATGATTAGAATTAGGGGGAATGTACGGCCTGTTTTGACAGATGGGCCCCATCAGGGAGACCTTTGCACAATTAACTTAGAATCAATTACGTCCTATTTCTCCGTTTGGTACGACTGGAACTTGGTTTATGTGGGGAAATTGTTGCAGAGGCTGTGGATGTGCACGGCGTGAATGTTTTAGCCTGGGTAAGTACAATTAACTGCTAATAACATGCAAATATAACCAATACGGTGCTAAACAACATGCATTCTGCGTTATGAGACATTTGCATGATAAAATTAGGAGTTTTTTATATTTTCAATGTGTGGATAACTTGATT